AAAAAAAGGAAAAAAAACCCTTACTTTTTGGCATACAAATTACTTTTTTTCTTCTTAAATTGTCAGTGTTTGACAAAATGTGCTGATTTTTCACATGTGATAGAAGAACTGAATTGGGCATGTACAGGATGAATCACATCATTTGAAACTTAGCCCTGATTGGAGAAATTGGAAGTGTTACAACTGACCCACGTTACAACTATCCCTGGGCTCCCCTACTTTGGTGTTCCTCCACCTCCAAATAAATGTCAAAAGGAGTCCGAACCACAAAAGAAGCACGTATTCTCGGAAAAGTGGTTGCAGGAGGTGAACTGGCTTCAAACAAACGATGAAAGCACAGAGATGTGGTGAAAATCCCACTCTAGCTGACAAAAACAGTGCCTATTATATGTACGCAAACGCCCGTTGCAACTTCTTATCTGGTGTGCGTCTTTTATTTTGACAGCGCACCTGCGGACCACTTATGTGCACGGCAATGAAAACGGGTGTTAAACACGGTGCCTAAACCAAAATATTGTGAAAATGCAAGAAAGCAGACCTACACATTTTTTTTAATATGCACATTGAAGGACACGTTCTGGTGAAAATGACTCCAGGATTCCTAATAGTGTTAATGGAGGCCATAGTAATGCCATCTAGAGCAAGTATCTGATTAGACACCATGTTTCGGAGATTTTTAGGGTACAATAACCTCAGTTTGATCTGAATTTAGAAGCAGGAAATTATAGTTCATGCCTTTAGGATATTGGTATGGCTTAAAGATATTAACTGAGATGAGTTTCAGGGGTGATTTGTGGCAGAAGGATAGCACCACTAATGAAAGAGGAGGTTTGCAAAATGGTAGTGAGATCTGCTGTGATGTATGATTTCAGAATTGTGGAACTGACAAAAAGACCGAAGTCAGAGCTGAAATTGGCTAAGTTAAAGATGAGTAGACATTTCAGTGGGGTTAAGTAAGTAAGTGTCTAAAATTGACAACATTCGAAATTAGCACATCAGAGGCATAGCCCAGATTGAGCAGTTTGGAGACCAAATTATTATTAGGAAAACCTTGAGACAATTCGGACATGTGCAGAGCAGGGAGAGAGTATATAGTGGACAAAGGATATTAGACATTATTAGACAAAGAAGTAACAATAATACAGTCCATGGTAGGATATCCCTGTGTTAATACTATGTAGTACTAGGGATTACTATAGCCTGTAAAGTTGTACAAATGTAGCATGAAATTCCTGTTGTAGATGAAGCCCCTGTTTCTCAGCCATACAGGCGCATTCCACCAAATCAGTACAAAGAGGTCAGGGAGCACATTTCTGAACTGTTGAGAAAGGGGGTGATTCAGGAGAGTTCGAGTTCCTATGCTTCACCAGTTGTTCTGGTACGCAAGTCAGATGGGAGTCTTAGACTGTGTGTAGACTACCGCAGACTAAACGCGAAGACCAGGCGTGATGCGTTTCCACTCCCTCGCATTGAGAAGAGCCTGGATGCCTTGAGTGGTGCAGAGTTCTTCTCAACCATAGATCTTGCCAGTGGCTACCATCAGGTAGCGGTACATGAGAAAAACAGCCTTTACCACACCATTTGGCCTGTATGAATACTTAAGGATGCCTTTTGGGTTATGTAATGCCCCCGCGACGTTTCAACGTCTTATGCAGGCCACAATGAGTGATTTGGTCTTTCAGATTGTATTGATCTACTTGGATGATCTGCTTGTGTTTTCATCAACATTCCAGGATCACATTGTGAGACTGGAGACTGTTTTGAAAAGGCTGAGGGATACGGGGCTGAAGGTTAAGGTTGAGAAGTGCCATTTCCTCCAGCTCAAGGTCAAGTTTCTCGGTCATGAAGTGTCGGCTCAGGGAATAAGCACAGATCCTGACAAGATAAACGCTGTGGCAAAATGGCCCATCCCTAGTACTGTGAAAGAGCTAAGGTCCTTTTTAGGATTTTGCAGCTACTATAGGAGATTCATTGAGGGCTTTTCCCAAACTGCGGGGCCACTCCATGATGTGGTGAATGTCTGTGTTAAGGAGATAAGTCCTGTCAGGGCTAAACAGCTTTTTGCTTCAGCCTGGACACCGCAATGCTTACAAGCTTTTGAGTTGCTTAAGGGAAAGTTGACTAGTGCCCCTGTTCTAGGCTATGCTGACTTCAGTCTCCCTTTCATGCTGGAAACGGATGCTAGCAGTCTTGGATTAGGCGCTGTCCTGTCTCAGAAGCAGGGGGGAAGGAATAAAGTCATAGCTTATGCTAGTAGGAGGCTCAGAGGGGCTGAGAAGAATGATCAAAACTTTAGCAGCATGAAGCTCGAACTCCTAGCGTTAAAGTGGGCAGTCACCGAAAAATTTAGGAGTTATCTGCTGGGGTCCAAGTTCACAATCATAATGGATAACAATCCCTTGTGCCACCTGCCCACTGCTAATTTAGGAGCCATTCAACAGAGGTGGGTAGCTCAGCTGTCTGTGTTTGACTTCGATGTTAAGTATCGCCCTGGCCGCTGCAACACTGCCGCTGATGCCCTCTCTCGGCAACCAACAGTTGACACGGCAGAACCTGACAGTGAGGATGCAGAATATGATGGCTCTATATCCATATGTAATGTGCTAAGGGCAGGTACAAGTCTAGGCTCAGATCTTGTCATGGCTGGAGTTGAGGCTTGTAGGATCAGACTGCTGCAGGCCTCCGAACCAGATGGGGGAAGCAGTCAGTGAGGCTGTGCTGGGCAACACCCCAACGATGCCTGGTTATTCCAATGCAGAACTCTATCGCTTCCAAGTGTCAGACCCAACAATTGGTGTTTTGAGAGAGTTTTGGAGCAGACAGAAGAGACCCACCTACAGAGAGAGAGGGGGTCTGTCTAAACCGGTACGTTCTCTACTGAAGCAGTGGCCTCGGATCAGAGAAAAGGATGGACTGCTATACCGTGTAATTGAAGATGCTCACCTTGGACAGTGCCATCAGCTGCTACTACCTGCCTGTCTTAAAGAAAAAGTGCTCAGGAGTGTGCATGATCACATGGGACACCAGGGAATCGAACGCACACTGGGATTGTTGAAACAAAGATGTTTCTGGGGAGGCATGTTTGAAGATGTTGAGCACTGGGTGAAGAAATGTCAGAGGTGTGTGTTAACAAAGATGCCTCAACCCAAAGTTCAGGCACCCCACGCTCCATTTTTGGCTACCCGTCCACTTGAAGTTGTTGCTGTTGATTATACCACCCTTGAGATGGTCGTGAAAACGTTCTTGTAATGACTGACGTGTTCACCAAGTTCAGTCAGGCATTTGCCACACGAGATCAAAAAGCAGATACCACAGCTAAGGTTATCCTGAAAGAGTGGTTCCTGAAGTATGGGGTACCAGAGCGCCTGCACTCAGACCAGGGCAGGAATTTTGAAAGCGCAGTGATTGCTGAGCTATGCAAACTGTATGGAGTGAAGAAAACGCGTACAACACCCCACCACCCTCAGGGTAACCCACATTGTGAGAGGTTCAACAGGACTTTACACAACCTCTTGCGTACGCTTCCCCCTGAGAAGAAGCGGCGCTGGCCCGAGCATCTGTCAGAGCTGGTGTATGCTTACAATGTCACGCCGCACTCAACGACAGGGTATTCTCCCCATTACCTGCTGTTTGGGGTCCACCCACATCTACCCGTTGATGCATTGTTGGGCCGGGAGGAAGTGAAGGATGACAAACTGGACTGGTTAGCAGTGCACCAGGAGCGTCTCCAGGATGCACATGCCAGAGCCAGAGAATTTGCCGAACGGAAGGCTGCAGAGAGAGTGGTTCAGCAGCAAGGAAAGGTGTTCTGTCCACCTGTTGACATCGGACAGTTTGTGTATCTCCGTTACCGACCACCAGGAAGGAATAAAATTCAAGATGCCTGGGCAGCCCCTGTGTACAAAGTGGTTGATATCCAAGGGACAACATACACAGTAGTGCCACTGGAAGGAGGGCTGGTGAAAAGAGTCCACAGATCTAACTTGAGGCCATGCGTGGGGTCTATACCTGCACCCAACCCAAGGCTACGTGACCAGGAAGTCAGTTCTGCAGATGAGCACCAAGTGTCTGATACGGAGCTTGAGCATCCAGAGTTTGCCTTGATGGAGGAGGTCCAGTACCCAATGGAGCTGCCAGTGGCTCAGGGACCTGGGAACTTGGTTCCGACGGTCAACGAGCCTGGAAACCAATTGGAGAATGGAACTGAAAATATGGGTGAGGATCTGCTAGGGCAAGAGAGCAGCGACAACCCTGATGACCTCGAGGTGGAGCCAGCAGCTTACCTTCCACCTGGGCCAGGAAGCATTGGATTCTCCAGTGAAGAACCGGTGGCAAAACCTGTTCCAGCTCCTAGGAAAGGAAAGAAAGAGAAAGCGGAGGCCGGTCCACCCACACCTGCTACACGCAGGAGTAGGAGAGAAACTGCAGGGGTCCACACAAACCCATTTAATCTACCTAGGTCAGCATGCAATGCAGTATCCTTCAGTCCAGATGTACTCTCCCAGGTGTTAGCCGGTATGGTTCTCTACACCACCAAACTCAGGGGAATGGTGGATGAGCAGGGGGTCACCGAGGACATTGACTCGTAGCAGGGGAGAATGTAGCCAAGTGAACTAATACTACGCATGGAAAGGGTTTAAAAAGAGGGAATTGTGTTTTTGACTGGTTGCCTGTCTACCGGAGGTCTGTTGTAGGGTTGTCATGGTGATGACTAGACCTCGCGTTTTGGGGGTATACTGTCCCTTTAAGAGCCGCCATAAGCCAGAGCACGCATGCACTCAAGTTTGTGTCACACTGAGCGCTGTGAGCGGGAGCACTGGAGAGTTAGAGACTGCAAAAGATTCTGTGGCTAGCTACACACGAGGTAAATGTGCTAAAAAGTGTAGCATACTGCAAAATATTGTCACCAGTGTTGTAGTAGACTGTAATTAGCTAAGTTTCTTTAGCAATGACTCCAGGTTTGTGACCATTTCTGTACAGTTCTTAACGCGCGACGGGTCCATGTTTAATGGTCACGTGCTGTGAAAGGGACTGAAGAGCGGGTTGGCGTGAGTAGTTACAGTGTCCTAACAGATTTCAAAGTTGTTAAGTTTATACTTTTACTCACTTTGCATAACTCTGTATGTTTCTGTTTGATTCAGAGGGGAGATCACTTGCTGTGTGATTCCTGCGTGTGTACTTGTCCTAGCACAGTAGCTGTGTGGAGAAACCGAAGTGAGTTCATGATGTTCTCCCATAGAAATGTATGTTTAAAAGAGAGTTTACAGTGCACTTTATTGCCAGTTGACCTGCGAAGTTGTGGGATGTAAACAATGTGTTTATTTGTTTTGTTTTCTCTTTTTTTGTTGTATTTGTTTCTTGACAGGTCACTACTGTTGTCTATACTGTTTGGATTTAACATGTACATATGATAGTTACTGTTGTCTCAGACCCTGAAAGGCAGTTTAGGCTGAGCCAGTGGAATAGTTAAATTTTGCCGTTTCACTCAAAACTACAGAATTAAAACTGTGCTCCTCCGAGTACAGTCGGAGAATAAAAAAGCCCACAAAAGAGTATTTCCTGTGTCCTGTCTCATTCCCCATGACCGGGCCACACAAATAACAGACCTAAGCTCCAAATCTGCAGTTTGAGAAGGTTTTTGAAAAAGATCTACCTTTAAATAATATTTGTCACATTCGGAAAGTGCTTCAAGTAACAGCATAACAGACACTCTGACAAAGGGGAAGGGGAAAAGATGACTATACATATGCACAGAAGGGCAGGTAGGGAAAGAGGAGTCCTTTCCTTCCTCTGGCTAACAGAGGAACTACATCACAGAAGACAAGAAAAGCAAAACTAAAAGCAAAACACAACAAAAACTAACTCTTAAAGTAAAACAGAAAGTGTAACAGCTAAAGAGGGAAAACACAGACATGAATGAACGAAATACAGTAAACGTGACACCAGAGGATGGAATACTCTGGAGAGAAGAAAAGTATAAAAAAGCTAGCGTCTTGGAACAAGACTAAATACAAGAATGAACAAAATTGAAATCTGAGTAAACTAACCCTGTGTGATTCATTTACTTAACCTGCATGTCAGTAATTCAATAAGTAATGTGAACAAGAAAACTATGCTTCTTCAAAGTCACATGGCTTACTTGAAAACAAATAGATGAATATGAAAGTGAAAGCAGTAAGGAAACTAACAGAATACCCCCACACACCCCATTGCAGTCATTGTGTCCAGAACCACGTCGGAGAAGGTAAGACCTTTTCAATTATACTGCTTTGACTCACTGCAGTGATTTCAATGACAGAATCATGCCTGTTTTTAATGCAGTGCAGCCTGATCCTGAACACCCAATGTTGCTGAAATTGTTCCATAATTTGCATAATGTTTGTAGATTGATGAATTTCTGCCCATATTTATTTCTAACAAACTCTGCCTAAGATGCTCTTTTTATACCCAATCATGTCACTGAGCTGTTGTAAATTAACCTATTTAGCTGTAAAGTGTTCCTCTGGCTGCTTCTTGTTAGCACCATTTACTTTTCCAGCATTTTGTTGCTCACCTCCAAAGTTTTTTGTAGCATGTTGCTGTCATCATATTCACAATTAACGATTAAATTAATATTTTTATTAGTTTGTATAAATATACTTATAACTTATATTTATACTAATTACTAATATTTTTCATGAAACAGTAAAATATCTTAGTTTAAATATCTGTTATATTTTCTGTTTTACTGTCAATAAAATATTTGTTTATGAGACTCAATTGAAGGATTCTGAATCTTGGAATGGACTCAAACGCATATAGTGAGGAGGAAGGGACCATGAAAGACTCTGAATTGCAAATCATATCTAGTTTCATCTTTTTTTATTTCAGTTTGCTGACCTTTTCATATAATTGTCTTGTTTTACAGATATGGGCGGAGGTAAGTCCTGACCTGTTACATGTCGCACTAGTCTCAGAGCAAAATGCATGATCGTTCCATTGATCCAGAGTTTAAAAAAAATTAAAAACATTTATGATTGGGTTTTTTATTTTATTTTTACAACAAACACTGAAAACTGTGAAATCCTTATATGTGAAACATTTTTAAAGAACTTTTATTCTTCAACCTAACCAAGTAATTAAGGTGAACATCAAAAAAACAGTAACAATATTAGCAATAGATGCTCCACCTACTGTCACTCAAATTTTATTAAATGATAATGATGTCAAGGTAACACTTTTGCATTGTGACACTATTTGTTTATGTTCCTGTCTTCCCATTATGTTAACATATGTGATTTTCCTCTTCAGTATTTAGTCAGTCATGGAGGCCTTTGCCAAAGTGAGTATGATAAACATATATTATTGTTTTGGCTTCGTTCTGCTCCTTAACACAGAATTTAGATTTTTTGTTTTGGTAGCTGACTGTTGTGTGTGATAGCAGAGCATCGCTCTTATGCTAATAGTGCAAGCCATATCTTATTTCAATGTTTTGTTTTGTTTTAATTAACAAGAATAAATAAAAAATTCTTGATTTTGTGAAATTTCAAAAATATCAAAATAATGAAACCATTCTTCTCAAACCCCTTCTTAGCGGGCCAGCTAGTGAACAAGAATAACTCTGTTGAGACTACAGTGGTGTGAAAATGTGTTTGTCCTCTTTCTTTTGTATTCATTTTTCTTTTTTCACAATTAAATGTTTCAGATTATCAAATAAATGTAAATATTAGACAAAGATAATATAAGGAAAGACACACTACAGTTTCTAAACAAAGGCGTTACTGATTGGGGGGGGGGATCCAAACCTACATGCCCCAGATCACTGACATAATATTTGGTGTTGTTTATCCTGCTCATGATAGCTCAGTTTTTGTTGGTAAAACACAAAACTGGTATGGCCTAAAAGAAGGTTTTGGCTAAAGTTCAAGAAATATTATTTATGCTAAATTTTTAGAAAAATTTAAGTGATACCTTTTTATTTCTAAAAACAAAAACAAATTATTTGTAAAGTTTCAGTGTCTGTTTGGTTGATTGTTTGCAGGAATAACCAGGATACGCTGGATTTTCTGAAATCGTACAGTCCTCGAAATCATGAAGCTACCCATCTCAGAATTCTGCTTATTGGGCCAACTGGTGAGGGGAAATCTACCTTCATCAACTCTGTTGACAGCGTTTTACAAGGCAGAGTTGCTAGTCGAGCTCCAACAGATCAACACGTTACAGCAGATTCATTCACCAAAAAGGTATGTATGTTTCCATCTATCTATCTATCTATCTATCTATCATTTTTTTACTGTCAAATAATGACTGTAGCTGCTTTAAACAAAGACTTATGAACTCCATCTTCTGTTTTCAGTACAAAACATATAAATTCTCCAAAACCAATGAAGGTCATTACTCATTTGTTATTAATGACATCATGGGCATGGAAAGGACCAAAGGCGTTCATGTGGAAGACATTAAGCTTGCCCTACGAGGACATGTGAAAGATGGTTACGAGGTAGAATCTTTTGACCTTTGGCTTTGCTTCATATGTCTAGTTTTTTGGTTTTGTTTATTTGTGTTCTTATATGGGTTCATACGATTTGCAAATCACTAGATTTGCATTTACATTTTAGTGTTACAGTGTTTTCATTTCAAATGTATGGGATATAGTAGGGGAATATATGTTTACAAATTATTATTTTATATGCCTACAAGATAAAAGTTAATATCTTAAAAATAAGCTGTGTGAGTTCAGAGTTGAGTAATGGTGTGTAGTCTTGGTTTAGATCTTGTGACAAGTTCTGTTTATGATGTGCTACCTTTCTTTTGAGTCATAATAATTTTAGCAGTGATATTCTCAGTCTCAGCATGAGCCTGCTATTCTTCTTTCAAGCATCACTCCCTCCATGTCCTCAGGCATTTATCACAGGCTGATAATTTCTGGACTTCAGCAGCCTTTAAGTCCTTATTGCATAGTCAGTTCATTCTTTTCTGACTTTGAAGACCCTTGATTCTGACTTCTACCGTCTTTCATCCTATCTCATCTTCTCCACAGTCAAAACTTCGTAAGACTTTTTTCAGGGCTCTGTTTAGTTTGTGCCTTCTGAATATAATCATAATTAATCACAATTATTACTTAAACTCTTGTTTATTTAATAAACAAGAGATATAAACTGAGATGAGTTTCAGTAAGAAGAGGTGTAATCTTCTTTACACCTCTTCTTACTCCATTGTTTTCTAGTTTGATCCTGAAAACAAGCTGGAAGAGGGAGATCTAGGATACAACGCTGCTCCTGAACTGAGTGAAAGAGTTCATGTTGTGGTCACTGTTGTTCCTGCTGGCGTAGTGTCTTTACTAACTTCGGACATGATCGCAAAGCTGAGAGATATCAGACTGGCAGCCACTACGTTGGGTAAGGTAGCAGTTGCAAATTTTTCTGTAATACATTATTTGGACTAATTATATATATACATATATATACACATATATACATACATATATATATATATACATATATACATACATATATACATATATATATATATATTAGGGGTGCAACGATACTCGTATCGATATTGAACCGTTCGATATAGTGCTTTCGGTTCGCTACGCATATGTATCGAACAATACAACATTTGTAATTTATTTTATCAACTTTCCTTCTGACAATGCTGTCTGTGTTGAGCGCTCAGTGAATCTGCGTTCGACTACTCCGCCTAGGCTGCACTGTCGAGCGCAGATCCACTGAGCGTTCAACACAGACAGCATTGCCAGAAGGAAGAGCGCAGGGCAAGCTAGCAAGACAGAAGTTAAGCTCACCTTGCAACATGGCAAATTGAACCTCCCCCACCCTCATTCAGATCTGGCGTTTGGAATTATTTTGGTTTTCATGTGACGTATGACCCTGAAGGTAAGCGCGTCATGGACTAAAGTAAAACAGTATGTTGGATGTGCCATGCAATGCTCAATTACATGGGTGGGAACTAGTGTGTTAGTGCAGTTAGCTCGTTAACGTGTTGGCCGTCTAGCCCCACGCACGGGGCGATCAGGGGTAGCTCGTTAACGGAGATTTGCCGTGTTGTGGCGTTAAGGTCATTTCAACGAGATTAACGCAGACAACATTAGTGGGAACACAACGAATATGACTGCACATTTACGCCGACATCATCCTAGTGCAAAGACAAGTGGAAGCAGACGAAAACAACAAGCATGCAGGCATGCATGCTACAAACTTTACCCGAGTCATTTAGACAGCCGTTAGCACATGATTCTCCTTATGGGGACCTGATATGTTTAATATTGTGGCGAGCTCAGACAAGGAGGAGACGGATGTGTCTCCTCCTTGTCTTTACCCCACACAAAGTCCTGCAAATGTCCAGGTGCCTTCTTTTGGCGCACCGGCCGGTCACGACCCGCGGGGGAAAAGTCACTCGGGTCAGAACATGGGGTGCCACCATCATCCCACTTCTGACACCAATGTGGCGAGCTCAGACAAGGGGGAGACGGAGGTGTCGTTTGGTCTTACTTCCCGTGAGCTAGCCAGGGGGCACAGCCGTTTATTGACATCTGCAGAAGAACACTGCCGCTAGC